GCGGGCCGTCTCCTCGCCGAGGCTGTGCCCAGTGCCCACGGGCAGGAGCCGGGGCACCGGGGCAGAAACCGCCCGGCAGCGCACAGCACCATCACCCAGACAGCCCCCACCTAGAGAGGCATTCAGGGGCCCCGACCTGGGATCCACGGCAAGCGCGGCAGCCAAGTTCTGGGCTTAGACCACAAAAATAACCCCAGGGAAGCCACGGACACGTTTTTACTTGAGCTCCTACCACCTCTCAAGGGCTGCTGTACTCCACAGGATGACTCCAGCGCCAGTCCCAGCCCCACGAGGATTTCTGGCTGCCAGCACGTAAGACGGGAAGGTCGCGGTTGGACAAGCGCTCCTTTCAGAAGCGGTAATTACTTCACCAATTACTTCATCAATCCTTCCTCCCACCCCCATCCCTAATGTCTTCCCTGCTTTTGCATCACCCCTCAACAAAGTTCAGAAAACGTGGGGTTTTTTAACATGTTTCTTGAGCCAAACCACCACGTGCTGTCCCGAGCCAGAGGCTGCGTGCAGGGAACACACCAAGCAGCGACCGTTCACGGCCAGGCTAGGACCGAACCGAGCAAGTCCTGCTGTCTGTACCTCAAAAACCTCATCTTGCCCCTCCGTACAACGGAGAGAAGATGGAGCTGCTCTGCAGACTTCACACCCAGCAGGGGCAGGGGCCACACGGCCCTTGGCGAGCGCGAGGCACAGCATCGCACTCTGCGAGGGTCACCTGGGTCGCAGAAAGCCAGGAGGAACAGGCACGGGGTCAGACGGACGGGCAGCTGACGGCAGGGAGGACCAACAGGAAGGGGGAGCCACGTCGGGGAGAGCAGAGGGGAGCAAGAGACTGTTCTGTGCGAGGGCTGGAAATGGGTGCGAGGAATATTATCTGCAAATTATACCTATTATTATGAGAAAAATGCTTCCACTCAAGATGAAAATGCCCCGTCTGAGGCAGCATAAAAATAAACTATTTACTGCCCATCAACCTGGGCTAGGCTCCTGTGTGCCTGATGACTTTGGGGGGAGGAGGGAAGGGATCAGAGTTTCGAGTATTGCAATTATGGCAATTCAAACCTACTGGGAAACGGCTCAGCTAAGGGTTCTGAAACACAGGACATAAGAGCCAGGACCAGGTGCAACAGCTCCTCAGGGAAGAAAAACAAGAGCTTTCTTGACTCAAGTCTTTGATTGCCCAAACTACAATAAAAACAGCTTTTTTATTTTTAAGGGCTCTCATTGACAATCCTGATTAGGCAGGACCTCCTTGCTCTTTATATTTTTGGTCCAGCTCCCCCTTTGGAAAAGGCACATTCACCCTCCACATTCTGGTTCAGAAAGGAGAGCTGGCTGGCCCAAGAAGGCTCTGACAAGGGAGAGCAGTGGTCCCGAGGCACGCCAGCGTCCCCTGCTCCGCTGCTGCGGCCTGGGGACACCAGGCTGCGGGGCGGGCAGGAGGGGACCACCCCGCAGTGCCAAGGGAACAGCTTGGCACCGCTCTCCCAGGCCCCAGGTCCCACTGTCAAGTTTCTGCAACAGTTCCCCGCTGGGTGCCGGACCCAGCTCCTCGCTGGGGCCACCCTGCGGTCCCCACGCCGAGCCCGGTCACCCCACAGCCCCCTGCCACCGCCCCTCCTGCCGACCCACCAAAGCCTGCACACCACACAGCTCAGCCACCTTCTCAGGGCTCTGGCTTGAAAGGGAATACTTACTGCCTTCGCTTTGGTTGTCCTTGTTCGAGTTGTAGACCTGGAAAACACAAGAGGAAAGTCGTGTGAAGGCCCTGGGAAGGGACTGCTGACACGTCTGGTGTCACCCCAACTGGTGGCAGCTGTCCCTGCCTCCACCTCCCCCCGCAGCACGGTCCCCAAAGCCCACCACAGCCTCCTGCCTGCGAGACGCCAGGCTGCCGCAGCCCTGGAGCGGAGTCAAAAGCACAGCTGGGAGAGCTCTTGAAGAAGAGAAATCCAATGGGATGGACGAGGTGAGAACAGAAACTGAAAGCGCTTTTGAACAAAGCAAGGTGGGCACTGCTGTCCCCCGAGCCCTCCTCACAGACGCGCGTGAAGGACATCGACCTGCGCAGCAGACAGCTCCCTTCGCACCCTGCAGGCACTACAGCAACACCCGGTAGGTGCAACTCGGGCAAGGAGCAGGAGCCACCCTCGCTCACAAGCACTCACTGTCGCTGAATGAAGGAGTCAGGCACGGATTCAGGGAGGACAAGAAATGAAGTGACTTCTGAGAGGACCCGATGGGGCCAGGCGACGCACCCAGCGGCACAGCCACGCTCTGAGCCTGCGCTGGGGCTTCAGCCCAGGACCCCGCTGCCTTCAAACGCCACTGCTCGTCCTCCTGTCCCAGTCACGGCTACAGCTCGGCTACTTTAGATTAAAGTGATGTTTCAGTGGATAGAATAAAAAGGGGAAAAAACATGGCAGAAGGCTTTAGTTAGAGTTTGAGGACAACTTAAAAGCCCAGCGCAATGAAAACTGCAGCTGTAAGATCAGCCTTCAGACAGGTCGCATTTCTCCAGCTCAACAGAGTAACATGTTCTAAAATAACCCTTCGTCATCGCAGAGCCCCACGCGCGCCGGCGCTGAGCCAGGCAGCAACGGCCGACGCGGCCAAGGGCAGCGGGGAGGAGGAGCGGCTCTGGCCTGCACCGCGTTTCTCGACCTTTCCCACCGCAGGCTCCCAATTAATGACATTAAGACCCAGGACAGAGAGGCAGAAGCTGCCCCGGCTGTGAGGGTCTGGGTGCTTCCAGCGCTGTCGGATTCCCCCCGAGAACTCCAGCAGCAGCACAAGGCTGCAGAGCTGACAGCATGATGTCCCCAAAGGATCGGTGCCAGCGGCACACACTGCCGACCC